ACGCCTCTTCGATTTCTGAGCAGGCGCCTCTTCGATTTCTGAAGCTCTGTCGAGTGCAGATTTTTATAGGGGCTGGCATTAAGTTCCAAAGCACACTTGAATCTCCACCAGTAGAAGCTCCATTCTTGCACTTCTAAGATCTTGATTTGTCCGACCTCTTCTCTTTTCAACACCTTTGAAAATGTCTGGCCCATCCGACCGTCGTTTTAACTTGAACCTTGTTGAAGAGGCAGCCCCGCCTTCTCCTGACAACATATGGCGTCCATCCTTCGTCTCCCCTACTGGTCCTCTTACCGTTGGGGATTCCGTGATGAAGAATGATATGACCGCTGTGGTGGTGGCCATGAACCTTCTCACTCCCAAAGATAACAGACTACTTTCCAAATGGTCTGATGAGTTAGCTGTTAAGGATTCTCTGGCTCTCAGTGTTCAGTGTGCAGGTTCTGTGTCTAATATGGCCCAACGCCTATTTGCTCGAACCCGCCAATTTGAATCATTGGCGGCTGAAGTGATGAGTCTCAAACAGGAGATTAGAGGTCTCAAGCATGAGAATAAACAGTTGCACCGGCTCGCACATGACTATGCTACAAACATGAAGAGGAAGCTTGACCAGATGAAGAAATCTGATGGTCAGGTTTTACTTGATCATCAGAGATTTGTGGGTTTATTCCAAAGGCATTTATTGCTTTCGTCTTCTGGGGCTGTACTGCGTAATGAAGCTCCAAATGATCAACCTCTGATGCCTCCTCCTTCTAGGGTTCTGTCCAGTACTGAGGCTCCGAATGATCCCCCTCTGGTGCCTTCTCTTTCTGGGGCTCTACCGACTGCTGAGACTTCTCCTAAGCAACCTTTGTGAAGGCTCCCTCTTGTTTGTTTATTTTGACTTATGTATATGTACATATTTGTAGCTTATCGGGGATATCAATAAATAAGCTTTCCTTCATTTCAACGTATTGTGTTAAATACACCAAAGCCTTCTTCGCTAAGTTCTTTGAATTTTCTTTTGTTGAAGCTTTATGAGTGGAGCATGTAGGTTGAGGTAGTGTTCCCTTAATTTCCTGAGTGAGGAAAACTTCTCGGTTGGAGACTTGGAAAATCCAAGTCACTGAGTGGGATCGGCTATATGAATCTTAGAACGCCATTGTGCTCGGTCCTGTGTCATGTCCTTCGTTAGATCCAAGTACTCTAAGTCTTTTCTTAAAGTCTCTTCCAAAGTTTTCCTAGGTCTTCCTCTACCCCTTCGGCCCTGAACCTCTGTCCCATAGTCGCATCTTCTAATCGGAGCGTCAGTAGGCTTTCTTTGCACATGTCCAAACCACCGTAACCGATTTTCTCTCATCTTTCCTTCAATTTCGGCTACTCCTACTTTACCCCGGATATCCTCATTCCTAATCTTATCCTTTCTCGTGTGCCCACATCCAACGAAGCATCCTCATCTCCGCTACACCCATTTTGTGTACGTGTTGATGCTTCACCGCCCAACATTCTGTGCCATACAGCATCACCGGCCTTATTGCCGTCCTATAAAATTTTCCCTTGAGCTTCAGTGGCATACGGCGGTCACACAACACGCCGGATGCACTCTTACACTTCATCCATCCATTAACCGGATGCACTATAAAATTTTCCCTTATTGCCGTCCTTTCATTACCAATAACTAAATATGAATTTTATTTATGTTTGGAATTTAAAATATCGGGTGGATAGAAAAATTTTAAAAGATGTCAAAATGCCACATAATTTGTCAAATTTAAAATTTATAAACAAAATTTGAAAGCAGTCAAAGTGCCGTTTAGTATTACGATCTAATGGTATTCATCTTCACTTGTACGTGAGAGGTCTTAGATTTGATTCTCGTCAAAGTCAAATTTGAATGACATTATTACGCGCCCATTGTGAGGCTAAGCACATCCCCTCTCCCTTAATATAAATAATATTGTTTGTTCAAAAAAGAAAAATATTTGAAAACTTCCTTGGAGATGGTCTTAATAAGCTTTCAGAGTTCAAATTGTATAATTGAATCAAATATTGCATTTAGTCATGATTTTAAAAGTGAAGGGAATATTCACCATTAAAAATAAATAATTAAATTCAACCCCAAAATTCAATAGACATTAATTAAATAAAATTTATATACGTTTTCTCATTTACTCAAGATTATAAAAATTGAAAGGGATATTTCAACTTCTCTACTTCTCATTTTGGTGTTAGAATTACAGATGGGTGTGGGTGAGGCACCCAAATCCTCCTCATCAATCAAGTCAACAATCAGTTAGAGAAAACTCAGCAATCGGTTATGTAAGCTATACATACATATATCTATATATAAATATATATATTAACAAAAGATATTATATACATTAAAGAGTAGGGAAGTGAGCTAACCATACAATAAGCTAGCAATAATGTGGTTCAAATTTGTTTTTGGCGAAAATCGAACCTAAGACCTCTCACTTCAAGTCCAGAGAAATATCACTAGACCGTAGTACTAAGTGGTTAAGCTATATATATTGAATGGGGATGAAAAAACATTTTTCTTGACTTTAAATGGTATTTACTAATAAATTAATGAAGAAAAATTGGAACTATATTATTACTAGCCCATTGTGAAGCTTAACCCAATCCCCCACTCCCTACCCCTTTAGTGTAGATAATATTGTTTGTTCAAAAATAAATAAATAAATAAATAAACCACGAGGTGGCTGAGTGGCTGATGATGAATTCTAGGCCCCTATTCAACAAGCACGTCTTGGGTTAGATTCCTGGCGCTGGTGAACCGCATGATGGTGGCCAGAAAGAGGCTGAAATGCTTCCGTGAGTTTTTCCAGCCCCCAAAAAGGTTGGACTGTGGTGGCAAAGCCACCAGCTGAAAGTCAAAATAATTTACCTAGAGTTAGAGAGCTTGTTTATTAACAATGAAAATTGGATAGACGATGGATTGAATTGATAAGGAGTTGAAATGAGGAGCTGTGTCAGAATTAGATTACTGTTGGAACTGTTTACTTAAATATTCTAAAATCGGAGTAAGAATGAAACTGAGTTCATAAAAATTGTTTACGAATTCACCTGAATCCGAATTGAAGAAAGTTGATGTTCCACCATAAACCAATTGGCAATATGGGAAGTAGCCCAACCCCTCTTATAAGCCCATGCAAGGTCCCTCCTCCCATCAATGTGGGACTCATTCTCAACATGTCCTCTCACGTGTGATGAATTTTTCAAGCCTAACATGTGGACAACACAACATGGTGACGTGGAGAGCGTGTGACCATTTAACTTCATATGTGGGACAACTTGCTCTAATATCATGAAGAAAGTTGGGGTTCAATCATAAAACTAATTGACAATACAGGGAGTAGTCAAACCTCTTATAAGTCCATATAAGATCACTCATCCCATCAATGTGAGACTCATTCTCAACCAAAATAAAAATTAGTATGATTACTAAAATATTTTTATTCTAAATTTATGTACTAATAAAACCTTAATAGTATGTATTTGTTATTTTTTTAATTCATATGTTTATAAAAAAAACATGAAATTCAAGTAATACAACCCAGTAAAAGGTAAATATAGTAAAAATCTAAGGGCATAATGGGTAAGAAAATTTGATTCTGATTCCTCCATACTCCTCCAATTCGATTACCATCTCCAATCGAATCCAGATCCTCGCCTGAGATCCTCATATCCGTGAATCGTGTCATTTCATTGTATATCGTGTTGTCAGAAATTATTATAAATTTTTTATTTAAAATTAAGTACAAACAGTACCTAACAAAAACTGACCGTACAATGTACGATGAACGGACACGATTTACGGATTCTCAAAATTCTCACAAAGAGAATCCGAAGAGGATCCAGTTGGCCTCCAATCAAGGAGTCTTCAAGTTTAGTAAACGAAGTTATGTGTGGTAATTGGTATTCAATTTCACATTTTAATTCTGATTACGAATTAGTAAACAAGATATATCCCACCGTTCTATTTATTCCCCCAAGTGCTAACCCTTAAAGGCATTGAGTTTATAATTTTTTGTTTAAGAAAACTAATGAAAAGGGCTTGAAAACTTTGAGTTTTAATGATAAGGACAAAATAAAGGGTAAAGTGAATAGTATCAGGATTGACTTTTTAGTGTAAAAATGTGGTTTTTCGTTAAAGTGAACATTACCGAGTGCTTTTCGTTAAAGTTCCCTTTTTGTTTTGTATTTTTTTGTATTTTTGGTGCCGGACACTTTTGGTGTGGCCCTGATTGTAAGTGTGTTTCACTGTGTCAACACTTAATTAGTTTTATGTGCCTGAATAATTAATCTTGATACTACTATTCATTTCCATCTCCTTGGTTGATATTGAGATCTCTTTTTTTGATACAAATAATAAGATAATTACATTAAATTCATCTAAATTACACAAAAGAAGGATTTGAACATGAGTGTAGAGGAAGGAAGGGTGTTGACATTGCATATGCTTATAAGTAATTGAACTCCTCCCCATACTGTCAATTAGTTTTATGATGAAACCCTAACTTTCTCATGATAACAGAGCAAGTTGTCTACTCCACGTATGTGCTTATAAATAATTGGAGAGTATTAGCAAATTGGTTTTATGGTATAATCTCAACTTTTTTCAAAACGTTAGTGCAGATGTTGGGTTCTAATTGGGAATGAATAAATATTTCTTCAAAATGTTCGTAGCTCTCACTCATGAAAGCCATGTGATTCAATTTGTGATAGAAATATTACGTTATAACCAAGAATTTCTCGTGCTTGGTGATTTATCTTGCTTAGTGAAAAGGTTTTCATTATACCTGTGTTTGTGCAGCAATTTCTGCATCTAGCTATCCCAGGGATAATATATATTGATCGTTTCCAGCCCCTTTACAGTCTTTAATCTAATATTAGGTTAACATGAGTATAGTTCTATTTAATTCACCATCTTATTGGTACGACTTGCAAGCGTAATTAATTAATGAGTGATTCCGGTCACACGTACAATTCGAAAAACATCAGAGTTATGTTGATAAAAATTTTAAAAGTCAACGAGTAAAAGTATTAAGTTAGTACACACCAAATAATGTAAGGAAACACCCATATTACATGACAGTCGGATTCACAGAAGCATATGCAAGCAGCTCCTTATTGCATTCAAATTTGGCCATGTCTTCTTCACTGAATGTCAAGGATGCTTCTATGCCTTTCCCATCTCTTGTATCCATAAACACAATTAGATTCTTCATTCCTGTACTCTGACACACCCACAATGGCTTTCCCCATCCGAAGTTGGCTTCATAGAACGGAAACCTGCACCAACTGCTGCAATTGTAGTTGTCTACATCCCTCTTCATAAGATTTCCAAACTCTGTGAAGAATCCACATGCTTCCTCCCCACTTACTCCATTCCCATACTTTACTTTAAATTCCTCAACCCCCTTCCTCAGTTTAGCAACCAAGCTTGGAATATCAATATCGACGACTTCAATTGCTTCCGTTTTTACTGAAAACATCCCCACAAGATTTCCCATTAAGTTTTCTGCCAAGGGCTGCTGCACCAATATTTTCCGTATGTTGGCCACGGGAGACCACTCAGACGGCCTTACCACACCCAAGTTTGATCTTGATACTGTGGTGGCACACTTCCAAATCAGCGATGACACTGATTCAACCCGCGTTGGGTTTGGCACAGAGGTACTTACGGCCTTGGACTTAAGAGCAGCAACCTTAGAGGCCTCAAACACAAATCTTTTGGTTATGCACTTTTCTTCATCGAACTTCAAGGCAGGTTGAGGCGAGTTCAAGAAATCTAGTTGTGGAAAAAGAGAAACTGCAACACCAAGTTTAGGAGTAAGTAAAACATGATCAGTAGTAACACTATTGGATGCAAGGGCAATTGCAGCCCAGCTTTGAATGAATGTGCTGAGCGTATAGGCATCAGTGATGATATGTGAACTGCTAACCCCAATCGCCAATCCACCACATTCAAAGAAGTTGGCCTGGATTAGCAGAAGATAGCCTGTCTCTGCTTGTGTGGAACCTATTCCGGTTGGTAGCAATTGTCTAAGGATCTCAGCATCTGGTCTTTCCAAAATCTTCAATATGGGACAGTTAACTTGGGCTTCAATAAATGCAGACCCATGGTCATTGCAAGAAATGGAAAAATTATATTGGAACTCCCCAGCAAAGGGGTAGAAATGAGTGAGAGCTTCGGATAAGGATGTTTTTAGAAGCTTTGATCTTTCAACAACCAAAGAAGGGTGATCAATACTATCAACGTCACCACTACTAATGTTGTTGGGATAGAAGAGTAGTATTGGGATAAAAACATCTGGAGCTAGTTGATCAAAAACAGAAAGCTGGGCGGTTTTGAGGTGTGGAGGAGTTGAAGAGGATGGTTTAATTGTTTCCTTGTAAATGACTTCAACCTTCATCTCTGAAGCCATCTTTTTCTGTTCTTCGCCTTGATCACAATCGATCACCCTTTCCTTATGAAGACATAAATCTGTTGTCTTCGTGTTAGTCAACTTTGTTCTGCCAACCAGAAGACAAAACATGTGCATACAAACTAGAATATTTAGGAAAAACATGATGTGCTGCTTCAAGATTCCAGTGTATAAAAAAAAAAAAAGAAAAAAAAAAAAAAGAAGGTTCCTCGTGTTGAATTCGATTTAGTTTCTCCCCTTTTGTTCAGCAAATTGGTGTAGTTTATTTGTTTATATTTTGTCTTTTTTTCCCTATATGTCATTTAAATTTGCGCTTCACATCACAGAAAATGCAAATATCTATCGCAAGTGTCACTTTTAGGCTTGTTAAACAAAGCTAGGAAAAATAGTAGTAACTAGCCAAAATGTCAGCGCGTTGCTGCGGGACTTGAATGCACCAGCCTTAACCACATGAATTAAGACATTTAACCTGAAAAAAAAAATTCAACATAATCAAGAACGAACAAAAGGGATAGATGAGTAAAAGGTGTAGGTAAGATAAGCAGTTTGACTTTTATATACATTCAACCGAGATGATTACAAAATGTATAGTTGCAAAAAAATGCTCTGTTTCCTTGAGAAACAGAAGTAACATGCATTTAACACTTATATTGCTCTTCAAGTTAAGACGGCAAAATATATGTCCTACAGGCCAGGCATGTGTTTTAACAGCTAAGCAAAAAAGCAAAAAAAGTGTGTTGTTCTTGTTTCAACAGCTAATCTTTCAAGCACTAATGTTCAAAGCAAAAAAGATGCAAGATGCCTGTTTCCATAAGTTACAGAAGAAACAAAAGGAAGATGAGGGGTTCAAACCTGTAAAAACTCGCCTCTCGACAACATGACGATACTCTTGATGGATGGTGTCCCTTAGAGTCTGCATGTTTTAAGTTCAAAATTTAGCGATGAAAGAAACAAAGATTATGAGATTAAAACAAAACTGATAAAAAATGATACAGACCCGACGACTTAAAAACCGATTCTAATAAAATCTAAAACCTAGTAATTCTAGTAGTCACCGTACCACTGAGAAAACATAAAAAAATGAACACCAAAGAAGTCGATCACTATGAAAACATCAAAAACCAAAATCAGACGCCAAAAATCCATAAAATTAAATTATGAGTTTTATTAATCGGGTAGGGAATCAATAAAATACCACGAACGTTGGTTCAAAAAAAAAAACCTTGATACCAATGGACTGGAAAGGATTGCTTTGTCATAGAAAGTAAAAGAATAAATTGAATCAATTGAATATGCTTCTTGCCAACCAAAAAAGTAAAATACAGGGCAACAACCATTTCTTTTATCCTGTTTGTCGAACACCACCGGCATTTCAAACAAAAAGGAAGAGTTTAATAACTAATAACTTCAGGCACTTTCCAGTTGTTAGCTAGCATGATAAAGACCATGGATAATTTATGGTGTTCATTTTCCTGCCATTTGAAGTGACCAGAAACTGAAATTTTCTTATCAAATGTGTGAATGCTGCAATATATAGGATGACGGAGAAAATTCCAGTGAAGATTGGTTGAGGAAATTGATAGTGTCACTACTTGCCTTTGGAAAGATGTCTTTTCTGGAAACCCTTTCAAAGTGTTTAGGATCCGAAAACTTGTAATCGATTAGAGTGTGCCGATTAGGGTGATTTGCTATCTAAGACTCACTTGGGAGTTGGGAGTGAAGTTATAAGTCGCAAGCTCTTGAAATGCAGTAATGAATTTGGATAATATTGGACATGGAAGAAAATATCACATGCACAGCAAGCTAAAGCGACCAAAAGAGGAAAAAAAAAACAGAAAGAAAAAAAAAAAAAAAAAAAGATCTTAAGCAAAAACCATGAATCCAACTCAAAAATGAAATCTCCCAAATAACATCTCAAAACCATAACCCAAATCAAATGCACCAAGTCTCACATCAAAAAATAAATTATACAAATTGACATATTGGTAGAAACTCGACAGAGATTTTAGAGAGAGAGAGAGAGAGAGAGTACTAGAGGAAGTGAGATATGGTTGTACCTGGAAAGCAAAAAATAAATTATATAAATTGACTTTAACATTTGTTGACTCTAACAAATTGATACATAATAACAGTTGTTTAGGATATAGATATTGGTGTACCTGGAAAGATTAAAATTCACCATGTAAGCCATACTCGTGGAGGACTTGCTCTAGTTCTTCCATAGTGATATACCTGATAATCAGAATGCATTTTGGCAACATTGTTATAAATAAGATGTTGAAATTTAAGAGCATTATGTAAAAGATATTAAAAAAAAAAAACCCCCATCTATTATGATCTCTGCATACCCCTGCTGTCTCGTAGGAGAAGCCAATGAACAGTGGCAGTACTATCAAGCAACCAAGTTATGAAATACGAATTTAAAATGTACCTATTTACTGTGTCTGTAATGAATCTGTGAAATCAAATAGTTAAACCCTAAAAAGCACCTTGCAAATGGCATAAGAAAATTGAAATTAACCCTAAAGAAATTGGGAGAGAAGAATATGAAAAGGGAATACCTTTCGGCCCTTTGAGTTATTGGAAAAAAACCCAACAGAGCAAAAGCCTCCAACTCCAAAGACTGTTGTGGGATTTTGAAGAGAGTAAGAGAGAGAGAAAATATCGGAAGAAATAAAGCAAGAGAGGGGGGAAAAAAGGGGGAAGAAGAAGAAGAAGCAGCAAAAGCAAAGCAAAGGAAGAAGAAATAAGGGGAAAAAAGGACGACTGAAATTAAGTACGCAACCATATACTTATAATAGCAACTAATCAAATAGAACTAAAAAAATATGGAGGAATCATATCAGTCACACTTACCAAGTATTGAAAGATATCGAGCAACAAAATCAGTCTCACAGTTAAGTTCAATAATAACAGCCTTGTTCTCATTCTGAGCCAGAGCCAGCAAGCCCTCAGCAGCCATCCAAGATGACTTTTTTGATGCCAAAACCTTCCCTCTCCTCCTCAATTCCTTCTGAGCAGCCTCTGCATTTCATTAACAAAACCAACTTTGATAAGGATTCAAAAAATATATATACACACACATAACCGATTCAAATTAGCATAAACAAAAATGGGAAGAAAGAGGTTCTGACCAATGTCCCAATTGCTTCAGCCACCGAAGCAAAATAAGAAGAGAAAAGGACAAAGGGAACAAACACACATAAAAATACATACACTAAATTATTTTTTGTATCTATACATTGATAATTTGACATTCAATACGGAAAACAAATCTATAATTCAGGCTTTAAAATACATTGTAAACTCAATTAATACAAACAAAGAAAAAGCATCACACTAAACAATTTCATCAACCCCAGACATGAACAGAGTCACACCCTAAAATGAACCAATGCAGATAAACACATTTCACCAGACTAAATCCAACAAAATCACAAATCAAAACAGGCATCTCTAGAGAATTCAAATAACCAAGAGATAGGTGAGATGATAAGATAAGAGTTTGGATTTCATTTACATTCAATTAAGCTGACATCAAGAGCCAGTGTACAATCAAAAGGATGAACTCCAAGCAATAGATTGTTAGCTGGGTAGAAAAAAAAGGAAACATGCACAAATTAAATTTAAATTTTCCATCACCTAAATTGTAATTAAAACAAATACACATCTTAATCACAGAAGGACTTTCAAATGCCACAATGTTTAACAACTACTGTTCTATCAATTCCTAATCTTATAAATCATTTTGTGACAGTTGGGAAAGTTTACTAAATAACAGAGAAAAAAGAGTAAACATAATCAATCTTTGGGTTTGAAATAGAATCAGAGTTGAGCTTATGTACCAATATGAAAGTTTTGAGAAACAATGGAAAGATAGCTGAGGTCCTGGTGGTAGCGGTGGCTGAAACTTGGAAGGGATCTGGTTTAATCTTATTTGCAGTGAAGCGGTGAGCGACATAAAAGGTGGAGGAAACTGGCGATCCCACTCATCAAAATGAGAAATTTCATAAATGCATTGTGCTGCAGAGAAAATAAAGAAGAGATTGCACAATAAATACGTGAAAATCAGTAAAATCGTAAATTAAAAAAACCAAATGATCAAGGATAAAATTTAGAAACCCTACCACACAAATCGCAAGAACATAAAAATTACCAATAAAAGTTAGCAAAAAACACACACGGTGTGACAATAAACGCCTTAACGCCAATGATGGCCTCAAACCCAAACAAAATCCCAAATCAGTTAAAAAAATAGTGAAAATGAACTGAACCCATTCCTCTATCATATTCTTTTCCTCTGTTTCCCTATCCCTAATCCCAAATCTCTTTTCCATGCTTTCTCCGCCGTTTTTCCCTCACCTGTTTCCCTATCCCTAATCCCAAATCTCTTTTCCATGCTTTCTCCGCCGTTTTTCCCTCACCCTCAATCCCATTTTCTTCCAAGTCTATAATCAAAACCACATGCATAAACACGCTAGAAATTTGCCAAAACCCACAAAATAGCCTAACTAAAACTCTCACCGATTAAAACTTTCACCAAAAAAAACACACTATCTCTCTGATCAAACGAAAACTCCAAAACCAATTCAATGGTTGATTAACAACCCATAACAGTATCTTATTTAAAATTGAATCCAGAAAAATTAAAAGCTTCTTACATTTAAATTGTGAAGAAAACGCCATACCAAATCAAGCATTAATGTATCGTTTCATACTGACAATCTTGGAAATTCATATACCATGTTCACTTTGCTTGATTTGTTTGATCAGAGAAATTACTTTCTAAAAACAATCTTGACAAATGATAATCTTGATTTGCTTGATTGTCCAACAACAATCTTGGAATATGTATCGTTCAATGTATGTCTTTAGAATCGAATGACAATCTTGGAAATTTATACTGACAAAGTGAACATGGAAATTCATATACAATTTGACAATACCAAATCAAGCAATATCTAAAGACCAAAAACAGATCCTACAAAGCAGAAACCCTATCTCATATGCATTAAAATGATTGACAAATTCTTGGTGAATCATCATAAAATTAACCCAATTTCTCAATTCCAAAAACATGAAAGTTTAAGAAAGGGTTCTGAGTTCTCACCATAACGAAAATAATCATATCGTTTCAGTTTGAACTCGGGGTCAATTTCCATCATCTGCATTAACAGAAACAATAACTTATGTCAGTGCATTCAAACCAAACCCATAAATCAATTCCTAAAATCAACTGCAAATCACAAAGTTACCCAAAAAAAATCCAGCAAAGAACCAAAATACCTGAAAATTACTATATTAGTACTCCCTCCACCCCAAAATCAGAAAATTTGAAATTAGAGTTTGATAACATTGTACATAGAAAGTAAGGAATCGATAATTTAGGTGGTTTCCCAGGACAATAATGAGCTTGTAGAGATCATATTCATACATGGATGCACAAATACACAGACACTATAGAGACCATTTGATGAAAAAAAAAATAGAGATGCTCAGAGATTCAACACACACTATACATAGATCCATGGCTTAGAATTTCTCAGATCCGGTTGAAATTAATACAACAACAACAACAACAACAACAAAGCCTTTTCCCACTAAGTGGGGTCAGCTATATGAATCCTAGAACGCCATTGCGCTCGGTTTTGTGTCATGTCCTCCGTTAGATCCAAGTACTCTAAGTCTTTTCTTAGAGTCTCTTCCAAAGTTTTCATAGGTCTTCCTCTACCCCTTCGGCCCTGAACCTCTGTCCCGTAGTCACATCTTCGAACCGGAGCGTCAGTCGGCCTTCTTTGCACATGTCCAAATCACCGGAGCCGATTTTCTCTCATCTTTCCTACAATTTCGGCTACTCCTACTTTACCTCGGATATCCTCATTCCCAATCTTATCCTTTTTCGTGTGCCCACACATCCCACGAAGCATCCTCATCTCCGCTACACCCATTTTGTGTACGTGTTGATGCTTCACCGCCCAACATTCTGTGCCATACAACATCGCTGGCCTTATTGCCGTCCTATAAAATTTTCCCTTGGGCTTCAGTGGCCTACGACGGTCACACAACACGCCGGATGCACTCTTACACTTCATCCATCCAGCTCGTATTCTATGGTTGAGATCTCCATCTAATTCTCCGTTCTCTTGCAAGATAGATCCTAGGTAGCGAAAACAGTCGCTTTTTGTGATCTTCGCTAGATTGCTCCTGTCATTAGTGTGGATAAGTATATAAATGGATAGAGATAGGAAAGCAAACACAAGATGTACGTGGTTCACCCAGATTGGCTACGTCCACGGAATAGAAGAGTTCTCATTAATTGTGAAGGGTTTACACAAGTACATAGGTTCAAGCTCTCCTTTAGTGAGTACAAGTGAATGATTTAGTACAAATGACATTAGGAAATATTGTGGGAGAATGATCTCGTAATCACGAAACTTCTAAGTATCGGAGTGTGGTGTCGTCTTGACTTGCCTTATCTGTCTCATAGGTAGATGTGGCATCTTCTCTGGAAGTACCCTTCCTCCATCCAGGGGTGGTATCTTTAACTGGTGGAGATGCACAAGGTAATGTATCAATTTCACTTGAAGCTTACTTGTAGTTTCAGGCTTGGTCAAGCGCGATACAAACCATGTAGTAGGAGTCCCCCAAGTTTGCCGAGCTAGGGGGTCTGCTGAAAGAGGTGACAGACAAGGTAAGCAATCAGAGCTCCGACTGATTGTTCACCTTCTCCCCCATCTTGCAGCAGCATGAAGGATAAAGAAAAAAGAAAAATAAGAGAAAAGAAGAATATGATGAGATACTTTTTGCATGCTTGAATTTGAAGAAATAAGTTTGTTTCCACAGTTATTCTTGAAGCTCGATCTGTTAAGAGATTCTGGAAGAGTTTGTTTCAAGAATTTCGAGCTTTGATTTCCAGAAGTAAGATTCTAACTTGACTGTTTATAGAGAATTTAGGATTTGGGTCAATCCAATTCAAGATTCAGGGAATCATCACCTAATCTGAAGAGTGACGTTCATCACTGCTGATATGGGATACTTTTTGCTTTTGACAGAGTAATGGATGTATCGGCACGTGTGCTGTTACGCTTGTCTCCACATGCTTCCTTGTATCCTTCGCACTTGCCCTATCTGTTCCTCAAGCAGATGCGGAATCTTCCCTGGAAACATAAGATGTTGAAGATGAGTACTCGAGAGCAATGCCAGGTAAGTAATCAGGTAAGGGGTTCCAGGCAGTCAGTTCCTGGCTGGAAGCTTGATTTCCAAGTGCTGACTGATTGCTCTCTTTCTCCTTGTCTTGCAGGTAAAAACAAGGCCAAAGGAAAAGACAGGGAAAAAGCATGATATGGGATACTCTTGCTTTTAACCCTGATGATATGAGATATTCTTGCTCTAGTATAGCTTGTTTGCAGAGGTATTATTGGGGGGGAAAGAAAGCTGAATATTTCGAAAGGCTTCGTTGGGAGTGCCCTCTCAGATATGATGAAGGGTTGAGCATTTTTGCAGGTCTGCCTGTCCGTTAGGGATGGAGGTCGACATATATAGGAGTCTCCCTAACAACAAGTAGTAATGCTATTCCTTTACCCTGCTTGGTCATAGCACGGTAGTGGGAGCTGCCAGTTTCACATGTTTTAACTCTGTCAGAGCACTTTGAAAAAGTGGTCTGTGGTATCTGGCTCTCGAGATTCGGAGAACGATGCCTCTTCGATTTTTGAGAAAGTAATCATGCTGGGGGTCTGGCTCTCGAGATTCGGAGAGTAGTGTCTCTTCGATTTTTGAGGAAGTAATCATGTTGGGAGTCTGGCTCTCGAGATTCGGAGGGCGGTGCCTCTTCGATTTTGGAGCAAACAATCTTGTTGGGAGTGTTGTCTCGAATGTGAGTAAAGGTTGGGCATGTTTGCTAGTCTACCTTGCCACGAAGCACAAAGGTTGACACACAGGGACTTTCCAATTATCCAGCAATGGTGTTCCTTTACCCTCTCTTCCATTTTTAAGAAAGTAGTCATGTTGGGAGTCTGGCTCTCGAGATTCGGAAGACGGTGCTGCCTCTTCGATTTTTGAGAGCAAACAATCTTATTGGGGAGTGTTTTCTCGAATGTGTGAGTAAAGGTTGGGCATGTTTGCTAGTCTACCTTGCCACGAAGCACAGGTGACAGGGTTGACACACAGGGACTTCACACATTGGACTTTCCAATTATCCAGCAGTGGTACTGTTCCTTTACCCTTGTGGGTAATAATATGGTAGCTAGACCTTCAAAATTTATGTGTCTAAACTTTGTTAGTGCTGTTTCTTTGCTATTCTTTTACCCTTCTTGGTCAGAGCGATGTAGTGGGAGCTGCAAGCTTCACATGCTCAACTTTGGCAGAGAACTTTGGCAAAGTTATCTGTGGTACCCATGAGCTATTGTTGCGTGTGGGAAGTGGGTGATTGAACAGTAAGATTCATGTGTTTTCTACTTCCCCAGGAGTCTTCGACAGAATGCCCATAATTTCCGCAAAGCTGAGTGTGCGTGTGACAGGTGCTGATAAGGCTGGAAAAGTAGGTGCCTCTTCGATTTTCTGAGATCGGCCCTCGTGGTCTCCTGGGGAGCCCAGCTTTTGAGAAAGCGAGGGCCTCTTCGATTTCTGAGATCGGCCTTCGTGGTCTTTGAGCAGCCCAACTTTTGAGAAAGCAAACGCCTCTTCGATTTCTGAGATCAACACTCGTGATCTCTAAGCAGCCCAGCTTTTGAGAAAGCAAACGCCTCTTCGATTTCTGAGCAGGCGCCTCTTCGATTTCTGAAGCTCCGTCGAGTGCAGATTTTTATAGGGGCTGGCATTAAGTTCCAAAGCACACTTGAATCTCCACCAGTAGAAGCTTCATTCTTGCACTTCTAAGATCTTGATTTGTCCGACCTCTTTTCTCTTCAACACATTTGAAAATGTCTGGCCCCTCCGACCGTCGTTTTGACTTGAACCTTGTTGAAGAGGCAGCCCCGCCTTCTCCAGACAACATATGGCGCCCATCATTCGTCTCCCCTACTGGTCCTCTTACCGTTGGGGATTCCATGATGAAGAATGATATGACCGCTGCAGTGGTGGCCAGGAACCTTCTCACTCCCAAAGATAACAGATTACTTTCCAAACGGTCTGATGAGTTAGCTGTTAAGGATTCGCTAGCTCTCAGTGTTCAGTGTGCAGGTTCTGTGTCTAATATGGCCCAACGCCTATTTGCTCGAACCCGCCAAGTTGAATCATTGGCGGCTGAAGTGATGAGTCTCAAACAGGAGATTAGAGGGCTTAAGCATGAGAATAAACAGTTGCACCGGCTCGCACATGACTATGCTACAAACATGAAGAGGAAGCTTGACCAGATGAAGGAAACTGATGGTCAGGTTTTACTTGATCATCAGAGATTTGTGGGTTTGTTCCAAAGGCATTTATTGCCTTCGTCTTCTGGGGCTGTACCGCGTAATGAAGCTCCAAATGATCAACCTCTGATGCCTCCTCCTTCTAGGGTTCTGTCCAATACTGAGGCTCCAAATGATCCCCCTCCGGTGCCTTCTCTTTCTGGGGCTCTACCGACTGCTGAGACTTCTCCTAAGCAACCTTTGTGAAGGCTGCCTCTTGTGTGTTTATTTTGACTCATGTATATGTACATATTTGTAGCTTATCGAGGATATCAATAAATAAGCTTTCCTTCATTTCAACGTATTGTGTTAAATACACCAAAGCCTTCTTCGCTAAGTTCTTTGAATTTTCTTTTGTTGAAGCTTGTATGTTGAAGCTTTCTGAGTGGAGCATGTAGGTTGGGGTAGTGTTCCCTTAATTTCCCGAGTGAGGAAAACTTCTCGGTTGGAGACTTGGAAAATCCAAGTCACTGAGTGGGATCGGCTATATGAATCTTAGAACGCCATTGTGCTCGATCCTGTGTCATGTCCTTCGTTAGATCCAAGTACTCTAAGTCTTTTCTTAGAGTCTCTTCCAAAGTTTTCCTAGGTCTTCCTCTACCCCTTCGGCCCTGAACCTGAACCTCTGTCCCATAGTCGCATCTTCTAATCGGAGCGTCAGTAGGCCTTCTTTGCACATGTCCAAACCACCGTAACCGATTTTCTCTCATCTTTCCTTCAATTTCGGCTACTCCTACTTTACCCCGGATATCCTCATTCCTAATCTTATCCTTTCTCGTGTGCCCACACATCCAACGAAGCATCCTCATATCCGCTACACCCATTTTGTGTACGTGTTGATGTTTCACCGCCCAACATTCTGTGCCATACAGCATCGCTGGCCTTATTGCCGTCCTATAAAATTTTCCCTTGAGCTTCATCCATCCAGCTTGTATTCTATGGTTGAGATCTCTATCTAATTCTCCGTTCTTTTGCAAGATAGATCCTAGGTAACGAAAACGGTCGCTCTTTGGTATTTCTTGATCTCCGATCCTCACCCCTAACTCGTTTTGGCCTCCATTTGCACTGAACTTGCACTCCATATATTCTGTCTTTGATCGGCTTAGGCGAAGACCTTTAGATTCCAACACTTCTCTCCAAAGGTTAAGCTTTGCATTTACCCCTTCCTGAGTTTCATCTATCAACACTATATCGTCTGCGAAAAGCATACACCAAGGAATATCATCTTGAATATGTCCTGTTAACTCATCCATTACCAACGCAAAAAGGTAAGGACTTAAGGATGAGCCTTGATGTAATCCTACAGTTATGGGAAAGCTTTCGGTTTGTCCTTCATGAGTTCTTACGGCAGTCTTTGCTCCTTCATACATATCCTTTATAGCTTGGATATATGCTACTCGTACTCCTTTCTTATCTAAAATCCTCCAAAGAATGTCTATTGGGACCCTATCATACGCTTTTTCCAAATCTATAAAGACCATGTGTAAATCCTTTTTCCCATCTCTATATATCTTTCCATCAATCTTCGTAAGAGATAGATTGCCTCCATGGTTGAGCGCCCTGGCATGAACCCGAATTGGTTGTCCGAAACCCGTGTCTCTTGCCTCAATCTATGCTCAATGACTCTCTCCCAGAGCTTCATTGTATGACTCATTAGCTTAATACCCCTATAGTTCATGCAATTTTGTACGTCGCCCTTATTCTTGTAGATAGGCACCAAAGTGCTCGTTCGCCACTCATTTGGCATCTTCTTCGTTTTCAAAATCCTATTGAAAAGGTCAGTGAGCCATGTTATACCTGTCTCTCCCAAAAGTTTCCACACTTCGATTGGTATATCGTCTGGGCCTATTACTTTTTTATGCTTCATCTTCTTCAAAGCTACAACCACTTCTTCCTTCCGGATTCGACGATAAAAAGAGTAGTTTCTACACTCTTCTGAGTTACTCAACTCCCCTAAAGAAGCACTCATTTCATGTCCTTCATTGAAAAGATTATGAAAATAACCTCTCCATCTGTCTTTAACCGCGTTCTCTGTAGCAAGAACCTTTCCATCCTCATCCTTGATGCACCTCACTTGGTTTAAGTCCCTTGTCTTCTTTTCCCTTGCTCTAGATAGTTTATAGATATCCAACTCTCCTTCTTTGGTATCTAGTCGTTTATACATATCGTCGTAAGCCGCTAACTTAGCTTCTCTGACAGCTTTCTTCGCCTCTTGCTTCGCTTTTCTATACCTTTCACCATTTTCATCGGTCCTCATCCGGTTGAAATTAATAAAATAAAAAAAAATTAAGGATGTGAATTTATACCTCTGACAGTCTGAGCTCCGTTCCCCTGATTCCTTCACTGGCTTGGTGCAAACCTGCGGAGATCGGCGATTAGGGATAAGAAAACTGGCGGCCGTGGTTTAGTTTTTTGAGAGAGAATTCAAGAGAAAAGAAAAAGGAGAAGAAGAAGGGGATGCCCCTTCCCTTCTGAGATTGTCAATAACATTTGAAGTACTTAACACCCATACACTATATTTACACACATAAACTAATCAGCACTCATAACATGTCAATGGTCCAATGATTATGGAGCTCAAAATTTATACAAGAAAGGGCCAATCAAATCATAAATTAAAATGAAAACATGTAAGTAATTAAGAATTATTACTTGCTTAGTCAGTTCCTTCTTGTCACTTCAAGGATTATTCAATTCAACCCGATTTGATCAAACTGCATCACCCAACAAAACAAAAAATAAATGAATTAAAAAGAAAATTAGGGGAACTAAATTAAATATACACTGACTGACTTTTTGGCTAGAAAACCCAAAAAGAGCAATTAAATAGCAGCGCATAATGACGGAAGTTCTATGAAAAAATATGAATGAGTTTTCAATTAATAATTGAGGCCGAAATAAAGAAGGCCTTTCTCACCTTTGATGCAAGGCAGACAACAAATTCATTATGGATTAATGTATAATATCTAAGATCCTTTTTTTTTTATTGAGACGCTTCAACATCATCCACCTAATTCATATCACACATCCATACATAGCTGAGAACGCGTATTCCCACCACCATTGTATTATTACTTTAGTATGTTTTTTCACTAAGAAGAAAAGGAAAGAGCATCACAAAATTTAGTTCCAATATAGCTGAGAACAATTATAATAACACAGATAAAAAAAGGCACTATCAAATAAATCAAAGGTTGTTTTAATAGAAAGTAAAAAAGCAGTAATGAGAAAAATTCACATGTTATTACCTTAAACTGGAGTTAAAATTACTCACCCTTTTTTTTTTCATTGCACCAAGACAAAAATAAAGAAAGACATCTAATCCCATAAATAGCAAATACTCTACTATCCTAAATTCCTAATCCCACTTGACTTCGCCGCCTCACACCTTTGTCCCCTGTCTCCCATTAACTAAAAACACTCCCAAATTACACCAGCCAGCCATACAAAGCCATTGGCCACATCAAATATTAGGCACGATTCAGGTAACCAAATTCAAAGAATAGAGTTCAGATAACAAAATGCAAAGAACAAAATACATATAGTAAAATTCAAGAACATGATTCAGAGGATTTGAACCATATTGAGTTGAAAACTTACCGAAGAGCGACGATTCCAGGGCGGTAGCAGTCAGGCTTCTTGACTTCTCCAGTTGTGGGTGTTGATTTTATTGAAGCCTCAAAATTAAAACAATTAGCAACTTTGATCCAATAATCTGATTGTTTCTCGGAAAAAAATAGCTTGCAATACAGATTTTGCAGCACTAATTAGAAAGAATTAAATCCAGGTATGAAAAATTGAATGAATCAATTACATTAGATATCATATATTGTCAGCAACAATAATTAACCGATTCAAATGTATCTAGCTAGTATGGATTGAACAGCCACTTCAATTGGGAAAGAGAAGATGCAAAATTGAGCAACCACTTGGATGATCAATGGATTATTCCATCTAGAAAATGATAAATATATACATATAGAGAGGCAGAGAGAAGAGAGGGAAGCATTATTACCATTTGGCGGCATTGATAGGTGCAGAGCAATTGATTATTGTTTGATCCTCCATGTCTTCTCTATGCCTTCAGTCTCCAAATAGCCTCCCTCACTTGGTAGAAGCCACTGATAATTCTGATAAAAAACAAAACAAACATTCAAATCAATTGTTATCAGCATTACATGGACTAAAGAACAGAAGAAGTAAGATTTCATGTCGAAGATCGCTTGTATAAACTAAATCCAGTAAATCAGAGAAAAATGTAATACAACAGTACACGACTGGAAAAGAGAGAGTACAAAATCTAGTCTACCGCTTAAGCATGACTCTATGTAAGATTCTTTTTCCTTCCATTAAAGTTTGAACAGACCAACATATCACATTATGGAAAACAAATCACCTTCTCAGCCTTGGCAGCAGCTTGTGCAGATTTTCCATACAATTCTTCTCTAACAGCAAGTTGACCCTTCAATTTCTTATCTTTCAAGCCCTGAAAACACAAAATTCAAGATGCAGTGACAAATAAACATGTATACGTTTCATGAAAACTCAAAGTTAAATAGTGCAATGTACAAAAGGTGAGAGCTTAATCCAGAGCTATCATAACTAAAATACCAAAATATCATGCAATCCGACTAAACATGTAACAGCAACCATCAGAGAATTGAAAATTTACTAATAAAATGAACCAAAGACCAATTTTGAATAATCAGGAACGATGACGTTTTAACATTGACATAGTGTGTTCATGTGTGAGAGAGACGGAAATAGAGTTGGAGTTCGACAAATGCAGAAATCAACCTTAAGATTCCCTCTGGTTCAAATGGTGCAAGCACCATTGAGGAGAATTAGACGGCAGAGGTCGATAGTCCGAAGAATTAACACTGCATTCCTGAAACACAAAGGATTAAAAAATTTGGATTATCATCAATGAAATGCACTAATACAACAACAACAACAACAACAACAAAGCCTTTTCCCACTAAGTGGGGTCGGCTATGAATCCTAGAACGCCATTGCGCTCGGTTTTGTGTCATGTCCTCCGTTAGATCCAAGTACTCTAAGTCTTTTCTTAGAGTCTCTTCCAAAGTTTTCCTAGATCTTCCTCTACCCCTTCGGCCCTGAACCTCTGTCCCATAGTCACATCTTCGAACCGGAGCGTCAGTCGGCCTTCTTTGCACATGTCCAAATCACCGGAGCCGATTTTCTCTCATCTTTCCTACAATTTCGGCTACTCCTACTTTACCTCGGATATCCTCATTCCCAATCTTATCCTTTCTCGTGTGCCCACACATCCCACGAAGCATCCTCATCTCCGCTACACCCATTTTGTGTACGTGTTGATGCTTCACCACCCAACATTCTGTGCCATACAACATCGCTGGCCTTATTGCCGTCCTATAAAATTTTCCCTTGAGCTTCAGTGGCCTACGACGGTCACACAACACGCCGGATGCACTCTTTCCATCCAGCTCGTATTCTATGGTTGAGATCTCCATCTAATTCTCCGTTCTCTTGCAAGATAGATCCTAGGTAGCGAAAACGGTCGTTTTTTGTGATCTTCGCTAGATTGCTCCGATCATTAGTGTGGATAAGTATATAAATGGATAGAGATAGGAAAGCAAACACAAGATGTACGTGGTTCACCCAGATTGACTACGTCCACGGAATAGAAGAGTTCTAATTAATTGTGAAGGGTTTACACAAGTACATAGGTTCAAGCTCTCCTTTAGTGAGTACAAGTGAATGATTTAGTACAAATGACATTAGGAAATATTGTGGGAGAATGATCTCGTAATCACGAAACTTCTAAGTATCGAGTGTGTGGTGTCGTCTTGACTTGCCTTATCCGTCTCATAGGTAGATGTGGCATCTTCTCTGGAAGTACTCTTCCTCCATCCAGGGGTGGTATCTTTAACTGGTGGAGATGCACAAGGTAATGTATCAATTTCACTTGAAGCTTACTTGTAGTTTCAGGCTTGGTCAAGCGCGATACAAACCATGTAGTAGGAGTCCCTCAAGTCGCCGAGCTAGGGGTCTGCTGAAAGAGGTGACAGACAAAGTAAGCAATCAGAGCTCCGACTGATTGTTCACCTTCTCCCCATCTTGCAGCAGCATGAAGGATAAAGAGAAGAAAAAATGAGAAGAGATGATATGAGATACTTTTGCTTTTGAAGAAGTAACTTTCCACAGGCTTATTCTTGAACTGAGCTGGAGGGTTTTCTGGTTTCCTCCAGAGTATAAGGCCGACTGAAGAATTTGAGGGTCAAAACAAGTCCATCAAATCTAGAGTACGTTCCACCCTGCTGATATGGGATACTTTTGCTTTTGACAGAGTAATGGATGTATCGGCATGTGTGCTGTTACGCTTGTCTCCACATGCTTCCTTGTATCCTTCGCACTTGCCCTATCTGTTCCTCAAGCAGATGCGGAATCTTCCCTGGAAACATAAGATGTTGAAGATGAGTACTCGAGAGCAATGCCAGGTAAGTAATCAGGTAAGGGGTTCCAGGCAGTCAGTTCCTGGCTGGAAGCTTGATTCCAAGTGCTGACTGATTGCTCTCTTTCTCCTTGTCTTGCAGGTAAAAACAAGGCCAAAAGAAAAGACAGGGAAAAAGCATGATATGGGATACTCTTGCTTTTAACCCTGATGATATGAGATATTCTTGCTCTAGTATAGCTTGTTTGCAGAGGTATTATCGGGGGGAAAGAAAGCTGAATATTTCGAAAGGCTTCGTTGGGAGTGCCCTCTCAGATATGATGAAGGGTTGAGCATTTTTGCAGGTCTGCCTGTCCGTTGGGGATGGAGGTCGACATATATAGGAGTCTCCCTAACAACAAGTAGTAATGCTATTCCTTTACCCTGCTTGGTCATAGCACGGTAGTGGGAGCTGCCAGTTTCACATGTTTTTAACTCTGTCAGAGCACTTTGAAAAAGTGGTCTGTGGTATCTGGCTCTCGAGATTCGGAGAACGATGCCTCTTCGATTTTTGAGAAAGCAATCATGCTGGGGGTCTGACTCTCGAGATTCGGAGAGCAGCAGTGTCTCTTCGATTTTTGAGGAAGTAATCATGTTGGGAGTCTGGCTCTCGAGATTCGGAGGGCGGTGCCTCTTCGATTTTGGAGCAAGCAATCTTGTTGGGAGTGTTGTCTCGAATGTGAGTAAAGGTTGGGCATGTTTGCTAGTCTACCTTGCCACGAAGCACAAAGGTTGACACACAGGGACTTTCCAATTATCCAGCAATGGTACTGTTCCTTTACCCTCTCTTCGATTTTGAGAAAGTAGTCATGTTGGGAGTCTGGCTCTCGAGATTCGGAGGACGGTGCCTCTTCGATTTTGGAGCAAGCAATCTTGTTGGGAGTGTTTTTCTCGAATGTGAGTAAAGGTTGGGCATGTTTGCTAGTCTACCTTGCCACGAAGCACAGAGGTTGACACACAGGGACTTTTCAATTATCCAGCAGTGGTACTGTTCCTTTACCCTTGTGGGTAATAATATGGTAGCTAGACCTTCAAAATTTATGTGTCTAAACTTTGTTAGTGCTGTTTCTTTGCTATTCTTTTACCTTTCTTGGTTAGAGCAATGTAGTGGGAGCTGCAAGCTTCACGTGCTCAACTTTGGCAGAGAACTTTGGCAAAGTTATCTGTGGTACCCATGAGCTATTGTTGCGTGTGGGAAGTGGGTGATTGAACAGTAAGATTCATGTGCTTTCTACTTCACCAAAAGTCTTCGACAGAATGCCCATAATTTCTGCAAAGCTGAGTGTGCGTGTGACAGGTGCTGACAAGGCTAGAAAAGTAGGTGCCTCTTCGATTTCTGAGATCGGCCCTCGTGGTCTCTGAGCAGCCCAGCTTTTGAGAAAGCGAGCGCCTCTTCGATTGATTCGGAGAACGATGCCTCATCGATTTTTGAGAAAGTAATCATGCTGGGGGTCTGGCTCTCGTGATTCGAGGAGCAGGGTCTCTTCGATTTTTGAGAAAGTAATCATGTTGGGAGTCTGGCTCTCGAGATTCGGAGGGCGGTGCCTCTTCGATTTTGGAGCAAGCAATCTTGTTGGGAGTGTTAAAATTGCTATTCTTTTACCCTTCTTGGTCAGAGCGATGTAGTGGGAGCTGCAAGCTTCACGTGCTCAACTTTGGCAGAGAACTTTGGCAAAGTTATCTGTGGTACCCATGAGCTATTGTTGCGTGTGGGAAGTGGGTGATTGAACAGTAAGATTCATGTGCTTTCTACTTCACCAAAAGTCTTCGACAGAATGCCCATAATTTCTGCAAAGCTGAGTGTGCGTGTGACAGGTGCTGACAAGGCTAGAAAAGTAGGTGCCTCTTCGATTTCTGAGATCGGCCCTCGTGGTCTCTGAGCAGCCCAGCTTTTGAGAAAGCGAGCGCCTCTTCGATTGATTCGGAGAACGATGCCTCATCGATTTTTGAGAAAGTAATCATGCTGGGGGTCTGGCTCTCGTGATTCGAGGAGCAGTGTCTCTTCGATTTTTGAGAAAGTAATCATGTTGGGAGTCTGGCTCTCGAGATTCGGAGGGCGGTGCCTCTTCGATTTTGGAGCAAGCAATCTTGTTGGGAGTGTTAAAATTGCTATTCTTTTACCCTTCTTGGTCAGAGCGATGTAGTGGGAGCTGCAAGCTTCACGTGCTCAACTTTGGCAGAGAACTTTGGCAAAGTTATCTGTGGTACCCATGAGCTATTGTTGCGTGTGGGAAGTGGGTGATTGAACAGTAAGATTCATGTGTTTTTCTACTTCCCCAGATGTCTTTGACAGAATGCCTATAATTTCCGCAAAGCTGAGTGTGCGTGTGACAGGTACTGACAAGGCTGAAAAAGTAGGTGCCTCTTCGATTTCTGAGATCGGCCCTCGTGGTCTCTGGGTAGCCCAGCTTTTGAGAAAGCGAGCGCCTCTTCGATTTCTGAGATCGGCCTTCGTGGTCTTTGAGCAGCCCAACTTTTGAGAAAGCAAACGCCTCTTCGATTTCTGAGATCAACCCTCGTGATCTCTAAGCAGCCCAGCTTTTGAGAAAGCAAACGCCTCTTCGATTTCTGAGCAGGCGCCTCTTCGATTTCTGAAGCTCCGTCGAGTGCAGATTTTTATAGGGGCTGGCATTAAGTTTCAAAGCACACTTGAATCTCCACCAGTAGAAGCTTCATTCTTGCACTTCTAAGATCTTGATTTGTCCGACCTCTTCTCTCTTCAACACCTTTGAAAATGTCTGGCCCCTCCGACCGTCGTTTTGACTTGAACCTTGTTGAAGAGGCAGCCCCGCCTTCTCCAGACAACATATGGCGCCCATCCTTCGTCTCCCCTACTGGTCCTCTTACCGTTGGGGATTCCGTGATGAAGAATGATATGACCGCTGTGTGGTGGTGGCCAGGAACCTTCTCACTCCCAAAGATAACAGACTACTTTCCAAACGGTCTGATGAGTTAGCTGTTAAGGATTCGCTGGCTCTCAGTGTTCAGTGTGCAGGTTCTGTGTCTAATATGGCCCAA